TGGTTAAGATATCCCTCGTCAATGGTGTTAACCATTGCTTGGATTCAGAGTCAAATGCGGCCGGTTCGTAGCGCAGTGCGCTAACCACTGCACCACCGCTCCTCTCCCCAAAAGCCGCTTTGATTTCTGGCATCCCTGCAGTACAATTCCTTAATTAATAAGTGGTGTCGGTGGGCGTATGAATAATGACAGAGACAGGGGAGTTGTTACCCTCACTCTTGTGATCGACATCACCGATCCACGCATAAACACAAATGCAATGATTATAATAACCTTTGTTAATGCAGAAAAGCATCACCGAGTCTCAAGATAATTTTTTTAAGGAGCGTTCTGCATTGGGATCTTTTGGCCAATTCCTTTCATCGGCGATTGGCATGGAATTAAGACATCTTTTTGGAAAACCATTATTTGGGAAAACCCCCACATGTGTGTGAGGAGATAATGCTCCACACGAGTGGATTTTTTTTTAAGAACCCACATGCTCGTCCAGGAAAACTATATTGAGTACATGGAAGAATCACGAACCCGCCCCCCATGTTCAATGACTGTATTCATTAGGGCCCAATCTCAGCACTGGAGCATCTGAGCTATAAGCTTAGAGGCAAGGAAGAAGCTATAAGCTGCTCACTCCGAGCTATAAATGCCCTGATCGTGCAATGTCTTTGCACTGTTCGCCTTTTGGCGTTCTCTGCTCTGTCAGTGATGAAGCTCCTAGGCCCTCAAGAAGGCTGCTGACTCTGGTGGAGCCCGATCAGTTTCAAAGACGATGCCATATATAATTATTATTATCAGAGCACGTTTTTGTTTGCATGCTCACCACACGTACGCGTGGCTAATGCAGTAGTTGATTTCTTGCAAAAGGTTTCTGTTTGGTGTTTGACCATCTTAACGCCTGCTTTATTTCCAGAAATGGTAACACCTTTTCTTATAGTCTTTGAGTCTTTCGGTAGAGCCACGTAGACAGAAAAATAATAAACAAAAAATATCACGACGTTTCGATCGCAACACAAGCAGTCGTTATCAGGTGAAAAAAATATAGCGGGAGAGCTGCTGAGGCAGGAAAACATTTTTTCACCTGATGACGATTGCTTGTGTTGTGATCGAAACGTGATTTATTATTTTTCTATCTACGTGGCTTTACCGAAAGACCCAAAGACTATGAATTCCTGCAGTCACGAAAGCTTTAATTCAAGCTTTAACCTATTCTCATGAGAATACAACACGTACATGGGGTCACATTCCTAACGCTTAGAACAGTTTTAAATACATCCATAAGAGTTTTGTTTTGGGGTTAGATCGCGTAAATATATAAATGTGTCGTTACCTAACCCCCCCCCCCCCCTCTATTCTGGATGATATTGGTCGCGAAGGCCTGCCATGTGTTAAACAGTTTTAAACACCCTGGCTACCTCCCCCAAAGAAAGCCCGCCGCCCGCCCTGCCTGCTCTGACGAGTCCGATTCGCCTGCCGATACCACCAATGCCCCTGGCAATGCCGTTCCAGAACGTCAGGACGTGTGCAATGTACGATGTGAGGAGGAGGATGTGGAATTTCAAAAATATATTTTTTTATTTGACAAAAAAAATAACCCGCATGCTGTACTGCTTCGCTGTGTCCACCAAGTTGCCCAATGGGGTGTGGGAGTTTACGGGCTCCACAGGGCTGCCAAATGATCGCTCCCCCTCCACCCCCACGGCCTGCAGAGCGCTAACACGATTGGCATTTCCCTTCTCTCCCTTTCTCGAACGTTCGTCGCAATCTGGACGTTAGATCGTTGTCGTGCTTTTTTTTTATCAACACCGCAACCACGCGTCCGATAGGAAAACGGAGCGAAAATATAAAACAATGGGTTTCTGGGGGGGGGGGCAGGAGGAGGGGGGGAACTCTTTGTGACGTCGACATGAAAGCACCTGCTGAGGACATCGCGGACGCGCGGGGGGGGGGGGCAGAGCGGGACGGAGTGGAGGAGGTGACGCCAGTTTCCACTTATTGTTGTGGGCAGGCTGCCTCCCCTTCATCGGCCTGGTTATCAGGGCTGCTCACCAGAGCCTTGCATCCATCAGGGAAGTCACTCTTTCCACCAGCTGGCAGCTCTCTCAAGATGAGCGTTGGTTTGGAAAACTCTCACCCCCCCCCCCCCAGACACGCTCCACCCCTCCTCGCTCGATGAACTACTTCGAACTCAGTGCTGTGATTACGCAGGTGACACAGTGAGGGAAAAAAGTATTTGATCCCCTGCTGATTTTGTACGTTTGCCCACTGACAAAGAAATGATCAGTCTATAATTTTAAGGGTAGGTTTATTTGAACAGTGGGAGACAGAATAACAACAACAAAATCCGGAAAAACGCATGTCAAAAATGTTATAAATTGATTGGCATTTTAATGAGGGAAATAAGTATTTGACCCCTCTGCAAAACATGACTTAGTACTTGGTGGCAAAACCCTTGTTGGCAATCACAGAGGTCAGACGTTTATTGTAGTTGGCCACCAGGTTTGCACACATCTCAGGAGGGATTTTGTCCCACTCCTCTTTGCAGATATTCTCTAAGTAATTAAGGTTTCGAGGCTGACGTTTGGCAACTCGAACCTTCAGCTCCCTCCACAGATTTTCTATGGGATTAAGATCTGGAGGCTGGCTAGGCCACTCCAGGACCTTAATGTGCTTCTTCTTGAGCCACTCCTTTGTTGCCTTGGCCGTGTGTTTTGGGTCATTGTCATGCTGGAATACCCATCCACGACCCATTTTCAATGCCCTGGCTGAGGGAAGGAGGTTCTCACCCACGATTTGACGGTACATGGCCCCGTCCATCGTCCCTATGATGTGGTGAAGTTGTCCTGTCCCCTTAGCAGAGAAACACCCCAAAGCATAATGTTTCCACCTCCATGTTTGACGGTGGAGATGGAGTTCTTGGGGTCATAGGCAGCATTCCTCCTCCTCCAAACACGGCGAGTTGAGTTGATGCCAAAGAGCTCCATTTTGGTCTCATCTGACCACAACACTTTCACCCAGTTGTCCTCTGAATCATTCAGATGTTCATTGGCAATCTTCAGACGGGCATGTAAATGTGCTTTCTTGAGCAGGGGGACTTTGCGGGCACTGCAGGATTTCAGTCCTTCACGGCATAGTGTGTTACCAATTGTTTTCTTGGTGACTATGGTCCCAGCTGCCTTGAGATCATTGACAAGATCCTCCCGTGTAGTTCTGGGCTGATTCCTCACCGTTCTCATGATCATTGCAACTCCACGAGGTGAGATCTTGCATGGAGCCCCAGGCCGAGGGAGATTGACAGTTCTTTTGTGCTTCCTCCATTTGCGAATAATCGCACCAACTGTTGTCACCTTCTCACCAAGCTGCTTGGCAATGGTCTTGTAGCCCATTCCAGCCTTGTGTAGGTCTACAATCTTGTCCCTGACATCCTTGGAGAGCTCTTTGGTCTTGGCCATGGTGGAGAGTCTGGAATCTGATTGATTGCTTCTGTGGACAGGTGTCTTTTATACAGGTAACAAGCTGAGATTAGGAGCACTCCCTTTAAGAGTCTGCTCCTAATCTCAGCTCGTTACCTGTATAAAAGACACCTGGGAGCCAGAAATCTTTCTGATTGAGAGGGGGTCAAATACTGATTTCCCTCATTAAAATGCAAATCAATTTATAACATTTTTCACATGCGTTTTTCTGGATATTCTTGTTATTCTGTCTCTCACTGTTCAAATAAACCTACCATTAAAATTATAGACTGATCATTTCTTTGTCAGTGGGCAAACGTACAAAATCAGCAGGGGATCAAAGTCTTTTTTCCCTAACTGTATATATACACATGTCCACGTGAACAGGGCGCCCACAGACCAGTGGTATAGTTATCAAGTGTGCAGGAAGTGCAACTCGCCATCGAACGAAGGCGGTCACCATGCGCTTTCAGATGCGCTTCTGCGGCCGTCTGGAACGCTCTTCCTTCCGATATTAGGGAGCTACTGGAGTTATGCACTTTTAAAGGTCGATTGAAAACTCATTTCTTTAGAACTGCTCTTTGTGTTTTAGTTTGTTGTCCTTCCGCCGCACCTTCGTTTAGCACGGTCGGTTTGGTACGGTGCGAGAAGTTCAACATACGTACATACAACTACCCCAGAGCACACGGGTCAGAGGGACCCAGGTACCAGGTTACGAAGAGGGAAGAATATTTCACAGGGGCCACCCCCATTTCATTCCGTGGACCAGGACCCATGCCAAACGTGCTACGGCACCGCCAAGATACATGTGCACACGTCCCCTGATCTTGACCGTGTTTTATACAACGCTGGCAGTACAAGAGGTCGCCTAACGGCTCAGGGTGCAGGGCACTCAAACGGCACCGTTGAAATCCTGGGTTTGAGTTCAGACTCCAGCCACGTGTAATCAAACTGGGTTCTCGAGGGGAGAGAGTTGTCTCAGCCTAGTCACATGCGACTGCCAATAAAAAAAAAACACTTGATTTGGCTCATTCCAGCTATGAGAACTATAACAATAATATTGGCTTGACTGTCAATGTCACTCAAATGTCTTTGTACAACAGATTTGGTGGGAAAGTGCAGCCTTTAATGCGTGTACAAAAAAGGTCACTTGAAGGGATCTCATAAGTAGTTCTCTGATACCCACTTCCGCGGGCCAATTCTCTAACCCCCCACCGTGCAATGCGTCGCTTTGCGAGAGCTCTGAATGTCTACTTTGTCCCGTGACGCGACGCCGGTAGCACAATTGGAATAGGACTGTGAGAAAAATGCGAAAAACAACGTACAACTGGCAGTGTATCGCGCAGCAGCATTGCAGCTGCGCCGCGATGGCACGGGGGGGGGAGGAGGGCCTGATAAGCGGCTCCGGTTGGGGTCGGATGCCTCTGGCTGTGGCCGGAGGCGTGGAGCCGGTGTGGCTGTCCTGTGTTGTGCTTGGGGCCGTGCCTGCCGCCACCCCCCCCCCCCCCCCTGACGGCCGCCACTCGCTGGCAGACACGGGGGGGGGGGGTCTGGGGAACCTCGCGATTAGCCTTGACGCCAGGCCAAGCAAAATCTCTGTTGTTGTTTCAGCTTGGATTATTATTCTTTTCCTCCCGGGGTATTTGGCTTAAAGGTGTCATACTGTGACCCACATTATGGGCGCCGCTTCGCGAGTGGTGGTTGCGCGAAATTCGGCATCGCTTCGTGGCAAGTCGACGGCGGTCGTCCTATGGAGACGGCGGCACGCTGTCATGGGAATGTGGAATTTCCACACTCCGTTAGATGAGCGCTACACAATGCCCACTCCTCGGCAATGATTCGCGGCGACTGTGTGGGCACGCCGATCGAAGCTCGAGAGAACAATGTGCGAAAGGGAGAATAACAGTCTTGATTTGAAGCTTTCGTGACTGCAGGAATCCATACTCTTTGATTCTTTTCGTAAAGTCACGGATTTTTCTACCTACGCGACTTTACCGAAATAACCAAAGAGTAGGGAGAATAAGCTCTGTTTTTTTTATCTTTATACTGTACGCATCCATGCGCCTGTTTCCAGCAGCAACAACAACAAAAAAACCACATCACCGATGTTGATTTAGGTCAGAGTGATTTAAAAAATCAAACGCCGGAAGGCGAGGAAGCGGCGAACCAGAAATCTCCCCCCCCCCCCCAAAAAAAAAAAGCACTCGGCACAGAGAACCACGGGCTCCCAGAGAGGCGAAGCGCCGGTCGGCAGACACCCCGGGACGAGATGAGCAGAAGAAGGCCATCGTCCTCGGTGTGATCTCGCGGACCGCTCGCGCGCAAGAGCGCACGAGCGCGTAATCTCACCAAAACACGAACGTCTCGTATCCTCTGCTCGCGACAGGAAAAGAGTAGCGGCGAGGGGGGGGGCGGTTGTTTTGAAAATCTGCCAGGCGGCGTGGCGGCGCCACGTCATGTTGCCGGCCCACGGGAGACACCGAGGAGGAAGAGGGAGGAAGACGACGAGGAGGAAGACGACGACGAGGAGGAGGTGTCCACCTTGCATCGCCGCCGCCGCCGCCGCCACTCTCCGCTCCTCACCGGCGACGCGCGCGTGAGGCCGTGGCGCGGAGCCACGCTGACGCGGAGTCCCGATACAGCATGCGGCATGCCGCTCCTGAGCAGGAGCGTGCTCCTCTGCAGCCTGCTGGCGTGCGTGGCCCACACGGTCACCGCACGGGGCGGCCACGCGGTCACCGCGGCAGAAGCCACAGCGACAACGGCAGCAGTACGGGGCCAGACGGAGGCCATAGCATCAGCAGTAGCACCTGTACAAGGTCGCATAGGAGCCACCGCAGAAGCAGCTGTAGCGACAGCAGAAGCACCACAGGGTCTGACAGATGCCACTTTAGCGACAGCCGGAGTAGAAGCAACAGCAGCAGCAACAGCACAAGGTCACACAGAGGCCACGTCAGTGTTCACTACTGTCAACATTCTCTCCTCTCCGATTGGTAAGTGTTGAGATTCCTGATACTCGGCGTCTCCCTGCATGTTCATTCTGCACTGACGCTGCAGGCTGTATTGATGTTGATAATATTGGTCGCGAAAGACTACGTGTTAAAGTGCATCGATGTTTGTTTGTCTGTGTGCATGTACGCGTCGACGCTGTTGTTGACGTTTAATGAGTGTGTTTAGTTGTTACTTTTGATTGACAATAATTCCGAGCAAGATCTTAGTGAAGAAGGTCTCGAACTTGTTGGAGAGACTTCCTAGGTGAAGGACATCCGTTGTTGTCACGAGTTTATTTATAGAGCCTTTCAAACACAAAGTGCATGCGTCATGCCAACTTGCCTAAGTTTAGAATGTTATAAAAAATATATACATATATAAATACCTTTTGGTAAAGTTATATAATGAACGTGAAAACAATGTGGGCGTCACCTCACCAGTAACCCACACGTGGAGTTTAGTAAAATATTGACAATAAATTACGTAAAGTATTGACTTTTTCCCTTCCAAACGTGAATATTGTGTTCAAAGTACGGTGCGAGCGGCCATCTACAGCAGGCCTACCTAACACACCCACACGTGAGGAGGAATGTCTTCGGTTCAACATCAACAGAGCCGGATGAGAAACACGGTCACTCGCCAACCACAACCGGAGCTTTCGAGAGGCTGAAAATCGGCTTTGTGAAAGGCCGAGCGTGGAGAAAGGCACAGCTCTTGGGAATAATGCAGAGTTGGAAGAGATGCCTTGTCTTCGCACCCACTGAGTAACACAAATTCAAATGTAACTATCATTTGGCCAAAAATCCCAAACGCTGATAAATTACCTGAAAATTACTCGATTGGGATTACATGCCAACGTTAGCCTAACGCTCTTCCTACCGATATTCGTAAGCCACTGGAGCTGTGCACTTTTAACTCTAGATTGAAAACGAATTTATTTAGAACTGCTTTTTGTGCATAGTTTGTCTTACTTCGATTACCACGGTTGGCTACGTACGGTGCGAAATAAGTTCAACAAACACACGTACATACAACGTTGCACGCTCACTGGGAGGATTTGGTTGGCTGACGCAGCCCAGCGGTAGCGCTTTAAGACGCTTGTTAGAGAGGTTTACGGTTCAAATCCAGCAACCGCCCTGGTTATTACCGCGGTGCTTATCACCCAGAAAGAAAACACGCGCCGTCGAATTCACAGTGGACGATGCAGATCCAGTGACCTCATTCGCAAGAGTATGCCATTGTGTGCCGGCGTCATAGTCCGAATTTGAACAAAAATTATCCACTAATGACTCGATTGGAATGTACATGGCAATTATCGCCCCTTCTGCAACAACTTGGCAGGACCCTCTTGAAAAAAACAAGTCTTGAGACTCTTGGCAAGGACCCTCTTGAGACTTCATGAAGCTTTCCTGGGTAAACATGCACAATATAACAACTAAATAATATTCAGCTGTACAAAATTCACCATCAAAATATGAAAATTGCTTTGTAAGTGGATGTCGACAGATAGGATGGGGATCGATAGCCAAACAAAAGTGTTGGAATGTCAACCGAGAGAATTGAATGCGGACGACGCAGGGGTGACCAAACAGATGAGTTAATGAAGTCAAGGCTCAGGTACGATGCAGTGATACGAACGACAGCGTCACAGGTCTAATGGCAAACACGTCTATATGATTGCACAGTTGTGTTTATTTGGACAGTGAAATCCTATCATATGCAGAGACTGCGAGGGTGGTTTATCACTCAAGATGGAGCCGATAAGCTGGAGTAGTGTCATCACCCTCATTTCTTGCAGAGGAAACAGACATACATGTACGTGGCAAAGAGAGCAAAGCGAAAACTGTAATGGTCAGCTAAGAGATAAAAATTGGCCATGATCTGTAATTTCTTCGATATGTGAAGGCTTACGTTGAAAAAAAGCGTTGACTAAGCAAGTTAATTGCATTTGTATAATTTAGGTAAACTGTATTGAATGCATAATTATTGAAATATGCTTTATACATCGGGCTATGTGGGATGCTGCCCACTAGTTTGTAATTTTTCCAATGACGTCCTTGGGCTTAATCAGCTTTCGTAACAGGAGGAGTGGATTGAAAATGACCACAGCGTAGATAATTCGTATGATAACAAATGTTTATTAGGACAAGATGAATGCCATAAACACTGCACCGTTTTGTGAAATACTTTAAGCTATGTTTCTGTGGCCTTTACATCCATGCGTGGGGATTGACGTCGCGCAGAAGTGAAACCTTAATGTGCGTGCGGGGAGTTGCTTCTGTTGAGCACGCGTTAGAATTTACTTTTGTTGTGATGAGGCCTACTATAGGCCTGGAAAGTTATATAAAAATAGTTACAATTGACTAAATTATTACACACACACAAAGATGTTGAATCTTAATGGACTCAGGGCTGGTTAGATAGAGGATATTAATACACCATGTACGTGTACATTATTTTGAACTTCTTTCGCACCGTACGTAGCCACCCGTGTGAATCGGGGGTGCGGGGTAACAACAACAAACTATACACTAAAAACAGTTGTACAGAAATTAGTTTTCGATCTAGATTTTTTTAAAGCATATGTAAAAAAAAATAGCCTGCGTGAAATTGAAAATACGTCAGAAAATGTTATTCAGAAAGGTTTACACGGTGTTATGTATAATACGACAAAGCATTGTTGGAGTGTAACTTTTATCATTTTACATATTTGTTCACAACTATTGCTGAAGCAGCGATAATACGATTCATTGCCATTCCGTATGCGAGTGAAACTGACCGCTGAGCCGGTGTCTCCAACACTCATTCGGATCGCCACCTTTGAATGTCACAAAATATGAACAAACACAGGGGCAGATTTATATCTAAAAACTTCCCAAAGGGAGGCGAGGGTGACGGACCGTCCAGAATATTCAAGCACCAAAGCCGTTGCTGTTGTATTTTATCGCCTTAAATAGGACCAGACTTTCAAAGTAAAATTAACACAATTCTCTTGTAAATATCAATTAAATACCATTGCCCCTCCCCCCCGGATCCACGACTGGACAAACATCATGCACGACAGTGTTGTACCGTACTTCACGGGCGCATATCCTGGCAAAATAGGGTGTGTGGGACAATGGCATTAAACCACGCAAACAATGAGACCTCGCTTGGTACAAAGTCAACAAAGAGTTCTATGTTTCTGAGCTCGACACAAGTAGAAAATCACGTGACAGTAGTAGGTAGCCGTGGGTGCCATGCTGTTGAAGCCCGGTAACTGAAACTTGTTGGAAAAATCTTATTCGAATTTATATTAAATACATTTGTTCATTGGTTCTTTCGGTAAAGTTACGTAGAAAGAAATTTAATTAAATAATAATAGAATACGGCGTTTCCATTGCAACACAAGCAACCATCATCAGGTACAAATGAATGAGAAAATAAACATAGTAAACTTGGAAATATAATGCAATGTGCCTGTCTGTGTCTATGTTTTGTCTCTCTCTTAAATGTAGCAATCTTTGGAAGAACGTTAATCAACCAGGTGGGGTGTTGACTGTTGTGTTGGCCGACCCTCTGTGTTGTATTGCATTATATTTCTAAGTTTACTAGGTCTGTTTTCTCTTTCATTTGTACCTGATGATGATTGCTTGTGTTGCAATCGAAACGACGTATTCTATTATTATTTAATTTCATTTCTTCATACGTAACTTTACCGAAAGAAGCAAAGAATAATTCCTGCAGTCACGAAAGCTTCGAATCTAGTTTAAAAAAAATTGTGTTTGTCCTCGTACATGTACCCTCTCCGTATGTCCCAGCCCCGTTGGTTGTGAGTCTCTGGTCAGGTTGAGCCGTTTGAACAGAGCACGTGGTGTCAAGGTCTCACATCGGGGCTGCCAAACGTGCCCGAGCTTGAAAACAGGAAACTTTTGACACGAGCTGTTCTGCATAGGATGTGCGTTTTTCCGGGTCAACTGTCAATGCTTAAAATAATAATAAAAAAGGTCTATTAACACTTCACCCCCTTAGAATGTAGTTTAACGGTACCCAGATTGTATTGGGGGGGGGAAATAAAGCAATAAACCTACTGTTAGTGAAGATGAATTGTGATATCCTGCGTGGTAAACAATGTTGTGTTTTACAATTTATTTGAAGCATTCCTCTTAAATTTCGTTAACAGGTCCAGGCGCGGCCCAACAGATTACTAGGAAAATTGCGCCTTCGTCACAACAAAGAGAAGCTTCCACACCGACGACTTTTACGACCGGAGCAACGATCACCGAAGTGACTGTGCTGGGGGAAAGTCAAACGAGCGAGGCCTCCGGTGCGCGGCGACGCAGCAAGCCCGCTGACGTTTCACAAACGGACGCGAGCGGTTCTTCGAATGGCGCATCCACCCTCGCAAGCGACCCGGGTGATCTTGCCGGTGCCGCATCGAGCGCAACTGGATCAGCGGGGTCGCCGTTGCTGCCGCGTTCCACTCCGAGAGAAATTTCCATCGGTACCCCCACGTCTGCGACCGACTTGTCCGCCCCGCCGCCTCTGACTGAGAGCAACGCGACCGTTTTCACCGCCGCCACTCACAGCGCGCCCGCTTTGCCCCGTTCACCCGCGGCCAGTGCGCACGACCCTGAGAGGGCTCGTCTATCCGCGTCGTACTCTCCGACCGAAATCGTGGATACTGTGAGAGGCCGAACGATCGCTTTCGGTCGGGATCCGACTCGACATTCAAAGGGTGAGCAGAGCCCCGACGTGACCATCGCGACGCTGCCCAGGGTCGCGCAACCGCCCACGGCTTCGGGTGGAACGGAGGCCACGAGTAGCGGCGCGTTGTTGGTGTTGCAGAAGATCACCAGGACACCGGTCGGTAGCGGGGGTGACAGATTCACCGTCACTCCTGCAGTGATTACGTCCGAAGCAAATTTGGAAAAAACTGCGATTCCAGTAATCACGACTGCGCTGTATGCAAGCCACTCACACTCGTACAATAAAACTGCGATGATAACAGAAATGACTGAAACAACATCTACAGCGCCAAATGAGAAAGAGCTGTTTGTAACGCACGGGCCTCTTGGCTTACCGACTGGCACGACATCAACACAACAAAGTGGAAAGGATGTCGACTCAACCAGTGTCGCAAAATCTACAGCAGCTGTAGACACGTGGTGGCAGCAGAATGTGTCTGTGGACGCCAGAGATCATCACACATCGACACAGCCACAGACTCACAAAGAGACAGACCGGGTGAGCCACGGAAACATTTCTGCTACTTTAACAACTTCATCAAATCACGAAAAGTTCACCCAATCTACCACGGACAACCCAAGCCTCATTTGGAGAGTCACAAATGAGGTGCGGGAGACCGCGTCAGCCAATTGGAGTCGCTCCACAGCTGCATCAACACCGTTGGCTACAACGACAGAAGCAGATGTGCGCGATGAAGACAGAGCCACCTCCGTGCCTCCTTTCCACCGTGGGACAGCTGGGAGCACGTGGGGTTATTTGAGTAGGACGGCTGCCACCGAGTCCACAGCCAAGAGCGTGAATCCCTCACAAGCTGCTTCCACGTTGGCGGCGACACACGAGCCCTCTCCGGGCCAAGTTTTTCCCAGTTCGGCATCAACGCAGATTATTGTCACCAATACCACTTCGAGTTACGCCACCAGAACCGCGCCCACGATTGGGACAATGAAGGACCCACAAACCACACTCGGAGATGGAGCAACTTCGATGGCTACGTCTGCTCAGCATGTCGGCAGCGAGTCCAGTAAAAGTTCTGGATCGAGTGAAACGACTGCTTTAACAAATTCGACCATCGCGGCCACGCGAGCGCCACCCACAAACAACGAAACTGCCCCTCCAACGCACCTGTCAATTGCCACGTCACCAGGTGAGCGTCCTTCATGAGTCACTCCCATGTAAACCCCGAGTAATCACTTCACGGTGCAGGTCGAAAAGAGAGTTGTTGCTCTTTCACAATCCGTTAACTTGATTTGCCAATTGCAGTTTACCCGGTGTGTTTATAATTTTACATTTTAATTACCAAAGGAAAGAAAAAAATCCTAAATTCACCAGATCTCAGAAGCTAATCAGGTTTTAAACCTGGTTTTGCTTACATTTGTGACAATCGGGAATTGCCAGGGTGATGTTGGGATGGGATTATGAAGTGGTCAGGAGATGGTCGTGTTGCGTGTCACCCCGTTATAAGCGTGGGGTTTCTCTGGGCACTCTCGTTTCCTCGCGCGTGCCGAAGGACTCGCTCATGGAATTGGCAAAACATTCTCATGCAGGTCCCTCCTGAAAAAGAGACTGAGCGGTGACACTTTGCTGGGTAAATAATGATGATGATCATCATCATTAATCAAGCCGTCACTATCTCTCATGGTCCTGTGATGTAACAAAATATTAAACAGCCGCCATTCGCCACGAGGTGTTCAACTGTTTTCATGTTACCAGGTAAGGCACACTAAGCTACAATGCTTTTTTTCAGAAGCGACCTGGCCACAAATCATGGCTTATCATGTGAAAGTGTATATAGCAGTCAAAGATTCTCAACGCATGTTTCTAAATGTGGAGGGAAAACCCGGAGGACCCAGAGAACAATCCACGTGACTACGGGGAGAACATGCAAACTCTAAATATACAGGCTTCAGGGTCGGGATCGAGACCACGACCTCCTGTGTACAAGGCGAGGGCGTTAACATCTCGCCACCGTGGCGCCCCAAACAAGGTGAATAAGAGATGACCAGTGTGCACAGAGGCACGGAGAGATGCACGCTTGGAATTGCATGAAGGGACACAATGAGTAACGCACGGATTGCAGAGGAAGTGAAAGTGACTGGGTAAATTATTGGAAACATCATTATTATTATTAAATTCCCTGTAGGACCCTGCTCACAACACAACTGCAAGAACGGAGGAACATGTCGCAAGAACAATGGCAGTGTGACCTGCCAATGTGAGGACGGCTGGTCTGGCATTGATTGCAGCGAAGGTACTATCGTTCGCATCGGAGTGCTTTTTTTCCCTTAGCCTCGTGTTGACAAGCCACGCGAGTCGGGCCATAAAAACATCTCACCCCTTCATCTTCCTTAACACCGCTGCAGAAAATAACGAAAATTTGGGTTAACGTTTCAAGCAGTGGCCCTTCCTCAAAGCAAGAGAGATGTAGCACTTCAGTATTTTGATTGATTTACAGTTGCCATGATTTTAGCAAAAGAGCGTGGACATTGAGAAGAGTTGATGCATGAAAATAGTTGTCAATTATCAGAAATCGGGCATCAAACTCTACGTGGAAAACAATGTATTTCTCGTATTTATTTAAATTATGGGTAAATAGGCCAATGTACGATTATGGCACTGGACTGAGGGACACGCCAATGTGTTACTATTAAAGCAGGGACCTTTTGCTAATTTCCCTTGGCAGGTGCTGAGCCATTGGTGAATTTCCACAGTCCTATGGCAGAAATGCACGGTATAACCTGACCACCACAATGAGCTTGAGAGGGAATGTAGAGTGAGTCATGGAATCAACGCCAGCCAAACTCAAACCACTATAAATGGGATTTAACCAAATGGCCCAATGTAGCAGATTCCTCCGAAAAGACAATCCTGAGATTTCTTGGTCAAAGGACAGTCTTCGACATTCGTATTGTTACCTGTAGGGAGCAGTGGCACAGTGCGCCGTGAACCCGGCGACCCGAGTTCAATTCCCATCCATTGCGAGCGACATTCCAACACGGTCCTGGGTCTCCACCACCTTCACCAACCCTCATTGACCCAGCGTGGTGAAGCCTAGGGTCACTGACTCGGCCGTGGGGAGGCCTCTATCCAGCAGTAAATTGACAAAAAGATGTAACCGCTGTTGCTAGTACTACCACCTTCCATTTCCACAAAAAAAACATCGCACCTCCTGGCTCTGACATTCCTTCTCGAAGACGCCGATGTAATCATCAACCGCGTCAGAACATCAACAGGCCCGCTGCGCATCGCCTTACAAAGAAATGTCGTTATTGTTATCTCGTGGAAAATTAAAGACACAAGTCACGGTGAAACGACTGTGGCCATGCAACCGAAATTATGGACCACACATTAAACCCATAGAGGCACACAGAGACACAAAAAGAAACGTACATTAAAGACAAGCCACAGCAGTGCGACTGTGGCCATGCAACCCAAACTATGGACCACAGAGTAAACCCACCGTAGCCTGCGCTCCTTTTAACAAAGGAGGAGGAACAGCAAAAAGCCCTCTCTCTCTCTCGCCGTGGCTGGCAGACCTCCACATCTGAGCCACATTGCTGCTGCCGCCCATCGCGCATGGGCGGAATAGCCCACCGAGCTGTACGTCGCGATGGGCACGCTCGGCCACGTACGGTGTGCGAAACAAGTCCAACGTACAGCGCTTTTTTTTTTCTGTTGCAGACGTCGACGAGTGCACGAAGAACCCGTGCCCCCTACCGTCAGCCGCCTGCTCCAACGCGCCGGGGTCGTTCGCGTGCAAGTGCCCGCCGGGCTACGATGACAGCACGGGCGGGGGCTGCGTGCAAGGTGAGTGCGCCGGGCGGGTAGCGAGCGCCGGTTGCCTGCGCGATGCGGGGGCTTCATCGGGAGGCTCGGCGGAGCGCGTGCCGATGTGAATAAAGAACGTGCAAATGCATCATTGTGTTGCAGTGAAGGTGTTTCCTGGCATTATGCGCACGAGACGACCATTGTTCGAAAGGGGCTTCAACAACGGCACGACTTTTCCCAACAAGCGAACGCTCCTGCAGCTTGTCAGAGTGGTAAGCTTAATTTCGTGAAATAAAAAAATGCACATGGCTTTTCAAACTCGCACAATAGATATTAATTTTGGAATTGACTTTTAAAAAGATCAATGTTTTGATGCAGAGTTCAGAGTTCTCGCAGTCATAGCTTCTCGTGATTAAATGTTGCTGTATTAATGAAAGATATTGATTCATATATTTTCGGCTCTGGCTAATTTTTGCATGGGATGTTGTTCACATATCACAGCTCAATGAATCTTTCAAGGACCTCCATCATTTTGTTAAATCAGTTATTAATATCACAAGGTAAGCAATACTCAAACATTATATTCGTGCATATTCTATAACTAAATAACACGTAGCATTTTATATAAATTGTGTCTCGGTGGCTTAGTTGAGCCACAGATATATACAATAGTTCAATTTTACCATAATGTTATATCCATTGCATTTACACTACTGCAAATACAAAGATCCCCCATATAGCCTTAACAGACCATTGGGGAAAGTGCTGTTAGCAAATAGCAACTATGAAAGCCGCGCGACACGTACACATACAATACCGCTTAACATATTCCACAACACTGCTCTACGTATACACGTGCCCCTGCCATAGAAATGTATAATTTCCACCACCGGCTTAGGTACCACCAACGGACTTGAGCACTGTCACATGAAGTACAGTCTGTTCTCTTATAACGCGTGTTTTCAGAACGGGAATTGGATATAACGCGATTGAGTGAACAGCAAACTGCGTCGTGCGAGTGGTAATAAGCGGTCGCACGCCTGCATCGGCGTAGCATAACACAAGGCGGGATGCTGCTGGATGCTTCTAGATGCTGACTGTGCTTTACCCCTACATTATATATTATTTATTAGAACGCGATTTTTCCATAACGCGGCGTTCTTCAGGAACGCAACTCGGAGAACGCACTCGGACTCCTTTGAGCACAGAGGAGATGCACGCAAAGGCGCTTGCAACAATGTCACCTTGACTGTCGCGTGTGCGCGTCACGAACGAAGGGCCGACGGCGCGACGGTGCGCGTGTCCAACCTCTTCGGCGCGTACTCGGCGGCAACGAGCGAGGGCGTCGCGGCGAGGATCAACGGCTTCGTGAACGCCTGCCGCGGCGGGGCGAGCGCCTCCCCCGTCTGCTCCTTCGCGGTTCGGCACGGGCTGTCGTACGAAGGCAAGGAGGGGCAGCGTCCCAAGCTCGCGCGCCCACGAGCGGCCGACGCCGCCGCACGTTTGCGTTCGTGGGTGTTTTTTATTTTTTCGGCACCGATCACTGGAACCGGCGTGTGCCACGACGGTGGCGGTAGCGGCGGCGTGGTGGTCGGCGCTACGCCGCGGCTACGAACCCGGCGGACCCGAGTTCGATTCCCGCTCGCGGCCACCAACACCGGTGACGGTTATCTGAACCGGTCCCAGGGCCTCCCCGAGGTCGACTCAGCCTCAAATGGGTAACCTGGTGCGGTGTGTAAACACATTGCCCGTAGGCGTGGTGCTGGCCACCCACCGCCTCGTGTGCCGTGCATGCCTTCATCGGTGCTGCTCGCTCACAGCACTTGCACCTAGCAGTCTGTTAAGGTTATACGGGGGATCTTTGTCTTTGATGACGTTGCCACCACTCCCCCCGACCCCACCTTCGTGTGAGAGCAGCGGTGAGCCTCTGCGACGGTGACGCGTGCGACGCAAAAACCAGCGAGTGTGCTGACTCGGGCGGATTCGTCAGGTGCACGTGTAAGACGGGGTACTTTAAGTTCAAGGACACGGACCGGACCTGCCGAGGTATGAACTCAAACACTCCCGATGCGCTTTTCGGGTTGGACTGCGTCCGGGGTGGGGGGGGGGGCATCACGGTGGCGAGATGTTAACTACCTCCGCTAGGTATACAGGTCGTGGGTTTGATCCTGACCCTGGAGTTTGCATGTTCTCTCCGTGGTCACGTGGATTTTTCTCCGGGTCCTCTGGTTTTTCCCGCTATATCTAGAATGAACATGCGTTTAGAGTGTTTGGCCTGCTGTACATTTCCACATCATAGGCCACTTGGTTGAGCTATCAGTTGTGGCCAGGTCACTTCTGAAAAAGAGCAACTTAGCTCAGTGAGCCTTGCCTGGTAAAAAAAAAAATGTTTTACTAATTTGTTCGGCACGTTGTCCATTGTTTCGCTACGTGCGAAGCCTTCAGCAGTTGGAGCGAAACGTCTGACGTGCTAATATTAGCAATACACAAACACGTGATTTACATTCTGAGTCAAAATAGTGGCTTTTGCACTCGTGGGTGTTGAAATTCTTTTGTGCCGTACATAGCCAACCGTGTTAATCGGAGGTGCGGGGGAAGAACAAACTTAACACAAAAAGCAGTTCTAAAGAAATTAGTTTTCAATCTAGTTTTAAAAGTGCATAGCTCCAGTGGCTTTCCTAATATCGGAAAGAAGAGCGTTCCAGACGGCCTCAGAAGCATATGTGAAAGCATGCGATGCTGTAAGCATCCTTGTTCGATTGCTTAGCTATTAAGTGTGCAGGCGGTGCAACAGCACCGGCAACTTACAAGCCAGAACGGTCCAGGTTACAGGCTACGAAGTAGAGAAGGGGAGAGGTGGGGGGCACGGAGGAATTGGACAGGGGGGCCCCATTTCATTCCTTGAAACCAGGACCCATGCCAACTGCGCAACGCCGCTCATTCAAAAGTTACATTTGCAAGGTGGGTGGCTCTGATATATATTCGCTCATAGCAGTTGCCTGTGTCTGCCCTTATAGACTGCGGCAGTGGGTACTTCCTTCGGAACAATGGAAGCTGCACGAGGTACGTTCCATCGTGACCCCGCTGAGTCCCGAGACTCGTGTTGGAGAGTTTGTAAAATTAGATCTTACGAACGAATTTTTTTTCGAGAAATGCATATTACATTATTCGACACGTTTCAAAGGCCCTGACGGAACCCGCGTTGTTCCTCCTGCATCTTGAGGCTGCACCACCGGGCGCAGCCTCCTCTCCAGCGCTCTGGCGTAGGCTTTACCTGGGACGCTGAGGAGTGTGATCCCTCTGTAGTTGGGGCACACCCTCCCTCTGGTCCACCTTTCTTAAAAGCGGCTACCACGACCCCAGGGTGTTCAATGTGCAAGGCTACTGTGTTGTTTTTCACATTTTAAACTCAGAGTTCAAAAAGTGAATTGCGCGTAACATGTTTAAGCATATTTCATTCTATTGAATCAAAGCCCTGTTTTGTTGCTGAAGGTCTGATATTCATCTTTTCAGATGCTCCTATGGCTTTGGTGGTTTCAATTGTGACGATCGTAAGTTTTATACCAACAGCGTGATACACGGACATGGACATATACCGTATATAATATATTATCTGGTGATAATGTTTCAATAATATTTCAATAGTTGTACTCGCACAATAACTACTTTATATTGTATATAAGATGTCATATTACCACGGGGTGTAATGGATACATCTGCAGTGATGTTAATGGAGTCACTATGGCGTTTAGCGCCAGCTACCATCACAAGAGTGGAACTGTGCGTCCTGAGCCTCTCTCTGGCACCAGAGTAGAGGTATGGCATGGAAGCGGACCCTAGGGGGCATGGTTCTGGTGACGGTCAGAGAGAGGGCAAGTGAGGACGTGACAGTCTGGGTGAACCCGAGAGGGCACGTGACCGGGACAGGGTAGCGAGGGGGCCCAAAGGGTGGCTTGAGGGACACGTGGTGCTCGGTCAAGAACCTTCTGGTGAGATCCAGAAGGGGGCGTGGCCGAGGGCGGAGCGAGGCCACGCCCCCTTCTGCTAAGATCCAGAAGGGGGCGTGGCTGAGAGCAGAGCGAGGCCACGCTCGGGAGCATAGAAGGGAAGTCCCGAGAGCGATCGCGGCTGTCTGCTGAAATGGAACCGTCGGTGCTACGTCTCTTCGATCTTCGGCCTTTACACTCGGCTTTGTGGGTCAGGCAGTGTGTTAGCTGACTGACCCGGTTATGTAGTTACCCAGTTGTAGTCTAGTTAATCAGTGTACGTTTATGTAATAATAGTAATAGGGTTGTTCCCCTTTTTTGTAATAAACGTGTTGCCTCCAAGTTCAAGTGTGTGCCTCCGTAGAACCCACTACACATCAATTGGTTGATATCGATATGGGACATGCATCTAATCGCGTGCGAAAGAATATAGTTTCACGTATCCCCTCCAGCCACTAGAGGCCGCTACAACACCACGATGTAAAAAAAACATTGATTCTTAAAACGAACCATTACCCTAAACCAGGGGTGGGGAACGTCCGGCCCGCAGGCCGTATAAGGCACCGCGAAATCATTTGGTGTGGCCCTGCCAAGGCAACCGCAGGCGGAACTCGAAATCCAATGAATCTAGGAGCAAACCTGGAAAAGCAGTTGCGAGTAGCAACATCGTCAATACCAGCTAACATCATCACACGCCTCGCCATCATCAATATCAGCTAACATCATCACACGCCTCGCCAAAGAGAAGCAGTTCCAGCCATCACATTGGGGGCGAGTTAATTAAATGTTTGACCAAATATAACGGGCTAATTTTTTAGTTGATCATTTCGTATGGCCCGCGAATGATGTTATAAATATCCAAATGGCCCTTGGCAGAAAAAAGGCTCCCCACCCCTGTATTAAACTATGACAACGCATTGAATCGCGAGAGGGCGAATCTTTCCACCGCCAATAATTCCCGCGACGTTTGCAGACGATTATAAATTGAAAAGGTCACTGGGGTGTAATTTCTCTGGCAAAAAAATCCTACCAAGGCCTCTGTGTCGTATGACACATTACGTGTCATACGACACAGTACTGTGCATGCATGGCGGGCGCTGGTAGCACACGCCTGCAAACCAGCACTGTGGAGGAGGGGGGTTTTGGTGGATCACACAAATGTTGTAAAATGCCCTTCCCGTGGCTCGCTAGGAGAATGCATTCCAGTACTGCAAATTGGACTCCATCTGTTTCATCTGTATGGGGACAGAGTTTCCAACCCTCGCAACGTGTGGATTCATCATCTTTGGTCCTTTCGGTAAAGTCACGTAGAACGAGAATAAAATAATACATTAATAAAATAACAATAACACAATAAAATTCTCACGACGTTTCATGTTATTTTATTGTTATTTTATTTTATTAATTTATTATTTTATTCTCATTCTACATGACTTTACCGAAAGAACCAAAGAAGATTAATCCTTGCAGTCACGAAAGCTTTAAATCGAAACGTGTGGATTCTCCGAGTGCTCCAGTTTCCTCCCGAATGCAAAGCTGTCAAATAATACGGTTTACCCCGTATTCTTGTACGGGGAAATTGAGTTTTCAGGTCCATAAGGCGTACAACCGTTTCGATGCGGGCAACACAAATAAAAGTGTCTATTTGTTTGTGTTTCTCCCTCATGATGGAACTTTGTAGGATGAACGTTGAGATTTAGAAGGGGCACGGGGTGACCAATATGGTCTGGATTGGTCTGTAATAAGGTAGGGCACTGATAAGGGGTTGACAGGTATGCAAATGTCCTCGCTCACCAATTGGATGAAGGCATCTTATATGTAGAGGACCACAGAGCTTGGGCAATTATTGTTACCGGCTCACCGCCTGGCCACTGCCTTCCTGCTTACCTGTTGTTTCTCGAGCTTCAGACTCATTCTTTCTCTGAGAGCGAGCGAAAACTGTGCGTACTACAAGTTGAAATTACTGCACTATATTATTATACTCCGACAGTTTTTTTATATATTTTAATCTTCATTTCAAAAATGATTACCTCTTGTGCAATTTCAGCCTCACTCCTGGTGATGGTGGCGATGGCAGTCACCCTGTGCTGCCTGTTCCTGGCCATGGTGTGGATGGCGAAGAAGGCGTGTGGGTGAGTGAGCGGCCACCACGAGATCGCATCACCATAGCCAGGGCTTCAGTCCTCGCTCAGTGTCTTCCGAGTCGCGGGTAGACAGAAATAGGACAGGCACCGGACACGCAGCCACAGCCACAGGCGGTGTTTTCCCGCACCATACCGGACAGACACAAATATTAAGCCCTGGTTGTAATAGTCATCAGTTCGCGAGAAGTTTGTGTAAAAAAAAACGAATCGATGGATTGCGTTGGCAGTGGCGCACAAGCACAGGTTATACCAAACCACCACGTCCGTCATTAGCGCTGCCTTAAGACAGAAAGAAACAGAACAGGCTGACGTTTCGATCAATGCCCCTCCTCCAGAGCGGAGATACGAAGCCACTGCATGAATATCAGGCTTTTGTTTTCTGTTTTGAGCGAGAGTTATTGACAAATGTGGAGTTTATTTTCGTTGTTTTGAATCGTTTGCTGGGCCAAGCAACCATCGACGCCTTCCAGGACAAGGGGGGGGGTGGGCGGAAACCAAAAAAACAAAATAACAAGAGGAGAAATTGTTTTTTTTTCTGAATTGCGTGAAGAAACTCAGTATCTCAAGAGCCGCGATGCAGCGTGTGGGGAATACGAGACGGTGGGTCCTTACTAAGTAACGCCACGAAGAGAATCCTTAAAGAGCCGCAGCTTCCAAGCCGCGGGTAGCCGACCCCTGGTCTAGGAGTATTTAAAAGGAAAAAAGTGTTGTAATTAAGGTAGAACGCCGCAACGAATTGCCGCAACGAATTGCCGCAACGAATTGCCGCAACGAATTGCCGCAACGAATCGCTTGCGCTCCACTGCTGGCGAAAGGGCCTCCACTGCAGGGAGCTGTGTAGCGGGGTATTTGGCCTCATCTTCCATGGGGGCCAGACGCCTTGGAAGAGGAGGGAGTACCCCGAACGTTGCCCCACAGCACACGACTGTCCGACGTTCCGGGTGTGCTGGCGGTGCGACCGCACTGGAGCACATCGGCCGGAGGGGGTCCGCTGGGGCCACAAAACGAGTGTGGGAATTAGATATGGGGGGGGGGGCAGGGGAGGGGGGCCCATTTCTGAATCAGAATTTATTTTATCTTAAACTGTAGCCAGGAGGAATCCGATAAGCTGCAAAGTTACAGCAGCAAACAACGCAAATTAGAGAAAAATGTGAGCAAGTCACGAAATATGACTAACTAAATAATAAATTGTTGATTCAAGCACGCGTTTGTCACGCTTGGGCGAGGTAGCAAAAAATCCTTACACCAGGGGACCTATTCAAACCACATTATGGTAAGCTATTGCTCTTCCCACAACTGTGAATATCTCCCTGTAGTGTGTGTGTGTTCTGTGTAGCGGTTAGCGCGGTGTGCTACGAACCTGGCGACCCGGGTTCGATTCCCACTCACGGCCAACACCAGTGACGATTATCTGAACCGGTCCTGGGCCTCCCCTAGGTCGACTCAGCCTCAAATGAGTACCTGAGTGCGATGTGTAAACATCGCGACTGGGGAGACAAAGGCGGCCCGGGCGCGGTGCTGGCCACCCACCCCCTCGTGTACCGTTCCGGCCTTCATAGGTGCTCGCTAACAGCACTTGCCCCTACAGTCTGTTAAGGCTACACGGGGGATCTTTGTCTTTGCGTCTACATGGGGACGGGGTGGTCTGTGTACAGGAGGAGGAGGGCACGGGCTCGGAGGCTCGTGCCCAGCAGGGTGCAGCTCTCTCCCTACGCCGATCTCCCGCCAGCGCCGCCGAGGGCTCACCGGGCACGGGCGAGGTGCGACAGCGTAGGGAGCCGCGTCAAACTCGCCCTGCAGCAGCAGATCAGCAGCACGTCGGTGCGTCGCCTGGCTCGGTCGCGCGCGAAGTGCCACCTCCGCGTCTTGACGGAATCGCCTCGGGCTCGAGCCGCATCGGCCCGATTTGTTTGATGAGACGCGCGAGTGAGCATCTCGGACACGTGGGAATTGCCGAACGTGGCTGGCTGGGAGCGTGGCTCGGAGCCGGCTCGCTTGAGTCGGGGGACAAGCCTGCGACTCGGTGGAGAGTCGCCCAAAAACGAATCTCGAAAAACGTCACTGGATGTCGCTCGATAGACCTTCCACGGGCGGCAAAACTGCCCCGATGCTCAAACTCATTACGCTTCGGTGCGGTGCATTGAGTCAATAGTAACAAGCATTAGTTCATCAGCCTTCCAGACAGCGCCGAGATTTCTCGTTTGAACACGCGCCACTTGATAACGTTGGTCTGGAATGCCAATCGCGGCTGATGGATTCAATTATGTAACTAAGATCATTTACCAGCTACAGTGCTTGTTCTACAGGGTGGTCCAGATGTCTTGTGACCCCCATTTAACTCTCTAAAAGTTCCTTTTTTAAGTAAGGTTTATTTAAGACGAAAATAAATGTCCAAAGGAACAAAAAATGTTAGTGGTCACTTATTTGGGGGGGGGGGGGGGGGTCACAAAACATGTGGACCGCCACTGCAGAGTTAGTATTCAGCGTAGTCGCCACGTGCCTGGGTGCTGCATTTCGCAAACTCCCGCCTCTGCTTTTCCCTTCCCCCTTCAGTCTGAGCGTGCGTCGGAGGTCTGGCGTTACAGCGACATGGAGATGCACCGCATGTCCAAGCTGGGTCGCTACAACCTCTCCTACGTCGGGGACGAGGCCGGAATTCGTGACTACTTCTGACGATCCCGGCCATAACACCACCCAGCCCCCCCTCCACCCCTCCCCCTATATTGTTGTTGTTGTTATTATTTAAGCTTTTTTTTCGTTTGCCAATGTATTGAAGCTGGCTTCAAAGCATTTGTCTCCCCCCACGGTGTATTGTTTGTACGGTCGCTCTCTCGCTACGCGCCCTTTAACGTTCATGCCTTGTTTATGTTGAAGCAAAGCGAAGTGCAGATGGACAATATTCACAGGGCGCCTGAGTGTATTAAGCAAACGCTATGCGGCAAAAGGGGCCTTAAAACTTCAGCAACCACGATGCGTCTTCGGGTTGTACCGCGTTTTGTTCGGCATCATGTCCGACGTTTCGCTTCTTCAGCAATTGAGCCGAGCTCAAATTGACTTGACGAAAACACGTTAAAGAGAGCTAAACAGGAGGGCACAACCACACACACACACAGCCCCACGCACACTTCCCAGGGATAGCTCTGAGAGGTGCGTGCTCCACTCGTACATAGAACCGTCTCAGTGCTGTCGACGTCCAGATGCTTGTACCTAAGTTGCGCACTCCACTACGGAGACAGCACCGACCTCACTTAGGCTGCACGGCTAATCATCATCATGAAGTTACCATTTCACCGGCTGAATGTTGAACGCACTCTGCCGCAATAATGCCGTTCTACAAATATTACATTTTGCCGATGTATTATACTCAATCCATGATGAGCAGCGTTCATTTTCCATTGGCAGCTTTTGCATATAGTTTACGTTGAACTTCTTTCGCAACGTGCATAGCCAGCCGCGCTTATAGCGAAGCTCGCCCAAACATGGGGGGAGCCGTTCCTGGTCTCACAAATTCCGTCCCGAATCATTTGAAAAAGTCAGGATTTTGTCACCGCTGAAAAAATAAATGTTCTGGCCTTTTAACCGACTCGCGATGTGGGCAAAGGGCGAGGCCATCGGAGCAACGACCATGCCTCCTGGCAGCAGGTGTCATCACGGTTGTTTAATGTTTTATATATATAGCGTCCTTAAAACGATTGTGTCACAAAACTGTCAAATAATTACCAAATGTTACATCACAGAAGGGGCTGAACCCCCCATGTAAGGAACTCGTGAACAGGAGTATTTTAAGTGCAAGAAAATAACAATTAAACGCAACAAGAACGTACTGTCTGAAAATGTTGAGTAGGCGTTTGTAGTTTGAACCAGGTCGGACTCTCGGCTCAACTTCTGTATTGGGCACGGCTAGATAACGCGTGGGCGTGGCTATGTAAAAGTGGGCGGGGTTTCATAAAGGGGAAGGGCTCAACCACGTGCCACCGGTTGAACCTTCCCACGGGGTTTGGGTCGCTTTTTAGACGTGAACCAGCGGTGGAATTGCACGTGAAACATTGGCGGCTTCCTTTGCGCCCATGACGTGTATAACGTTACACTAAATCGGTTTTGTTAGAATGCCGCAACCTTTTACAGTTACTTTGTTTTTTCTGGTCCGGTGGAGTGAAAGCCTGCGGCCTTGCCAAAGATACGCCCCGCGTGCGTAGATTCAAGTCTGGATCAAGAAATGTGAATGGCAAATTAAAAGGCAACTTTCAAAGTACAGTATTAAATTCAAGGTTTTAGTTTACTTGAGAATACTGAGTACATGGATAGAAATACAATAGACATAGAGATAAAGTACACAATACAGTTTAACCATAATTTACAGCCCTTAATCCTCGAGTGGATGAAGACCTCCACGTGCCATTAGTCAGGGGGGGTTTTATACTCATACTTCACCAAATTGTTCAGTGCTGTTAGGTGAAGAGGCAGGCCAAGAGTAGTTAAGAAATCATTCGCCACATCACCTTGGCCGGCAATCAATTCCGGTCACTGGTTTTATAGCGTAGTGCGATACTCTGCGACCACTTCACCAGATGGATGTAGGGCAGTTAAGATGTGGATCTTAGCACCTCGCATCATCTTCTCTTAGGTTCCAACATTAATTATTTTGGTTAATGTAGAAAATGTGTGGGTTTATATCCATACAATTACTGGAATTCTAATATCCCCTCGAAGGGATCTCTCTAGTGGAGGCTCTTTCACTCCAGCAGTAGCGTGTGCCAGCACTTGCAGGGCTGCGCCTCTACCCCGTAGTCCCAACAGTATCTGAGTATTCTAGATTTGAAGCTTTCGTGACTGCAAGGATTCATACTTTTTGTTTTTTTTTCGGTAAAGTCACGTAGGTAAAATAAAATAGAACAATTAAATCACGACGTTTCGGAAGCAACACAAGCTTCCGTCTTCAGGTGGAACAGTCACAGCAGAATATCTGTGTCAAGTGCACAGTTCCGAGACGACTTGGATTATATATAGGTCAGAGGGGGGGAGGAACCAGAAAGGGACGTGGGTGGGTGGGAGGGCTGAGTTAAGTCGCCTTTTGTTAAACTGCACAAAAGCGGGTAAACAACCCTTTTGGTTTTCTGGCGGCGGGGTTTTTTTTCCGGGGGGAGGCGATGCAAGACATCAAGTACAGGCCAATTTTTTTTAAACCTAAAATGGAAACTACGAAAATTTCTGTAAAATTATAAGGTAGCTGAAGTCTGACATACAACCACTGAGAAGTGGAAATGGCTGTACAATTAAAAGGCAGCTAACGTTTGACTTGATTTATAACATCTTTCCAGTGAAATTTTGATTTAAAGCTTTCGTGACTGCAGTAATTCATATTCCAGTGGTTGCTCAATTTGAAACCATCCTCTCGGTTGAAGTTGTGTCTATGTTTGTATATCTGGATGGCCTCATGGACAAATCTTTGGTGATAACCGGGAGGTTACACGGCAGAACGAATTCTTCAGCCGTGGCTGATCATTGCTTCAACACAGCGGGTTCTCATGACATTGTGTTCTCTGATACAAAATGACTCTGCAAACCACTTGACAGAGATATTCTGCTGTGACTGTTCAACCTAAAGATGGAAGATTGTGTTGCCTCCGAAACGTCGTGATTTAATTGTTCTATTTTATTTTACCTACGTGACTTTACCGAAAAAAACAAAAAGTAGTATCTGAGTACAAGAAAGTTTGACTTGTAAATGTGGCATCGACAGCAATGATCGAGTGACCAAGCTCTCCGTGATGTGTTCAATGTCGTGCAAGTAGTATTTTATTTATTTGGGGACAAAACTTGGTGCATTTTTGGTTGTATATACTCCACGGTAATTCGAAGAATAAAATACACTTTGCATTACCAGGCCGTCTGCTTGTTACACATTTGTCTGCATATCTTGTCGTGTGCCCTGCAACCAACATTATCATTCCGCTTGTTTACCCACAGAAAGCTTCGCCGAGTATCGTGACTTTTGTTTTCAGGAGGGCCCTTGCCACATGTTTCGCAGTCGGGGAGCGATGCTAGTTCCCCACGTGTGACGATTCCAATTGAGTCATTTGCGTGCAACGACGTCAGCGAATCTTTAACGTCCACTTTGGGACAGGGCCGTCCATATGGCGGGGTGCAGGGCCCTGAACGAAGCCCACCGCGTGCCCCCCCCCCTGACGCCTTCAAGCGCAACCGAAAGTACTCAATCTGACACCGTGAGGTCTAAGCGCGCCCCCCCAAAGCTCGGGGCCTGGGGCGGTCGATTCGCCATACCCTCGGGACTCCGACTTTGAAGCAGACGGCGCGTTATTATCTCTACGGTTAAGTCCACGGTTATCACCGCAGTGATCACCGTGGTGATAACCAGGGGCGGCTGCTGGATTCGAACCGCGGAACCTCAGCAGCAGAGCGGCGAACGGAGCTACCGCCAGGCTGAGTAAACCATGAATCACAGTGCGAAAGAAGTTCAGCGTGTATATAGATCTAGGCCAGCGGTTCCCAACCTGTCGTCCACGGACCCTTGGTGGTCGGTAAGGCTATACTACAGGGGGAAATAAACAATAACATCCTCACCTAGGAAGTGTACGATTTAATACGGAGGCGTTCGCACCTGATAGGCTCACAGTGATTACATCACCTTTGTTCCCTGATTTAAGACCGAAACAGGAGGACATATTAACAATTCTGGCTATCGCCTGATGAAGCTGGTTGTATATTCACCAGCGAAACGTCGTCCTCGAATTGTAAGTGCTGTGGGTTTACTCTCCCACAAACCGGTGTGTTGAACGAATAATGAAATAGCACGTTTTCTTTACGTGACAAACCTTGCTAATTGGCTGTGTCGGGTGGTGGCGGGTTTAACGACACATTCATAGTTGCGAAATCCAACTCCAAAAGAAACGTTATGATGGAGAAATGCATGCTTTCAAATAACTAGTAGCGTTTGGTGGTCCGCTAAGTTGAAAGAAGGGCCCGCGCACTTGACAGGGTTGGGAACCGCTGATCTAGGCGATTCTATTTAACATGTTCCATGACTCGCATCTGTTTAAAAAAAAAATGTTTCACCCACATCGACCTTCAAAAGAGTGTAATACAGTTCAATACAGGGTGATGTATTCATAGACACCCGCACTCACCTCTAATGACGCAGCTATATTACTCTGACCTCAATCGCTGATTGAACGTAGTGAGTGCGATGGCTCCGTGTCAAAAAGAGGCAGAGAGTGTTGAAAATTGTCATCGGTCAATTGAGATCGGTGGGAAACGTGTCGCCTTTGAAAACAAATTTTAAAAATATATTTATAATGTATTCACGTTGTTGTCGGGGGGAATGAGTACTAACTACATCTATCAATGGATAACCCTGTACTGTGCTCTATACATTCGGATATTTCTAAAAATGCATGCAACACAAATGACCGTCAGGGGGAGCCTGTGCCAAACGGTCTTCAGACACCAGTACTCATTACACATTTACATAATACGTTTGGCAGGACGTTTGACAATAAAACATTACAATTACGACACAGCCTTTAATGTGTATAGGAATTGGCATCGCTCGTGCGGGCACAATCAGCTTGACAGCCGTACCAAATCACAAAGCCGGAGCTGACAAAGGTCCAGAGCCAAGTGAGAGTTCACTGGAACGGCATCTCGTTATTGCAACGAAGACCGAGATCAGACGCACACCATCGCTGAGTCTCCCAGGGCAGAGACTCTCAAATCCGGGACCCCTAGTGACCCACCTACCAAGGTGTTAGGAGGGAGGGCCCCCTGTCGATTTGTGGCCAGGTCGCTTCTGAAAAAGAGCTGTGTAGCTCAGTGGGGCCTGACCTGATAAAATAACTAAAATAGTTTAGTTTTAGCTTATCCTGGAAGAACTAGCCCAGGAAGTAGTCCTCCCGGAGTACCTGGCCCAGGGCGCCGCGGTGGTTAGATGTTAACTAACTCGCCTGGTGTACAGGAGGTCGTGAATTCGATCCTGACAGTGGACGCCTGCATATTTGGAGTTTGCGTGTCTCTCTCTCTCCCCGTGGTCGCGTGGATTTTTCACCGCGTCCTCCAGTTTCCCCCTCCACGTCTAGAAACGCGCGTTGAGAGTATTTGGCCGCGATAAATTTCCACGTGATGATAAAACACTGCGTCGTGCCATCACATATGGCCAGGGGCGTTTCTGAACAAAAGAGATGTAGAGCCCAGTGGAGCCGTGTCCGGTACATTTTTTTTTTAAATCATAGATTTAAAATTTGAATAGTTTGGAGGCGAGGGCCGTAGCAGGGCTTTGTCACCAACACCACGTCCCGATGCCCCGCCACTCTCCTCCAGCCCGCCCGCACGCCCGCGGACTTGAGAGTTATTATCGCTCTGCGCGATGTGAACCACGGACGAGGTTACGTAACATCTCTAATAATAATAATGAAATGTGTGGCGTGTACACGATGTACCCACACAGATCCGGGAATACATCGCGCTCGCTTTTGACTATCACACAGCCTGTTAACGTCAATGTAATAAGCATAATTGGCAGCAGGAGGGTCACCGCCACGTGTGTGTTTTTTTTTATTATATATGCATCCCAAGGCGCAGAAAATCTCCTGATAACAGGAACATACATCGCACCATTGTTTTCACGCGCTTGATCATTATTACGTGTTTTTTTTTCAATAATGTCCCTTTATTTTATGTCAACAGGTGACACAACACTGGAATTAAGCTCGCGTGCAGGTTGTCAGGCCCGCTTCGCAACAGCTTTTAGTTATGACTGCTCGGGTTACCCGTGTCACGGATATACGAGAGAGCGGACACATGTCCGCGTCTCAAGTTATATTGTGCATCGGCGTTGTTATTGTCGTCGCAACATTGGACACTTCTCCTGCACGGTATCCACGTCGCAGCCTGCGCGCCTCCCCCCACCCCCACCTCTCTGAAAACGATTTCGCTCCCCACGTGTTAATTTATAACCACGGCGTGTGGTTATGTGGCTTGTCACTTCGCAGGATTTGTGAGAGATGGCCTTAGTGGTTTGCATGCATTACACACGGAGGGCTTTTATCCACCAGCAGTTGATTTAACCGTGGGCCTTGGCGATGATGGCACAACAGCAACAAACGACCGTGGCCACAACGCAGTTGCGGCCGTTCGGTGCTCGCGTGCGCGCCCCATCAAGCTGCGGCGGGACCTTTCGCCTACATTTAGCTTGGCACGCGCGCCGCTTTGCTCAATGCAGGCGAGACACAGACGCAGACTGCGATGCTTTGACTTTACAACTCAACGCACGTCCGCCAATAACGCTGTTGGCCTTGAAAGCAAAATATATATACTATGATGGGCGACGTTTCGGGCAATGGGCCCTTTCTTCAGAGCACGTAAATTCACACGAAGAAGGGCCGTTGCCTGAAACGTCGCAGAATTATATATGTATTTTTTTGTTCTTTCAAGGCCACGGTGTTATTGAGGAGTGTTGTTGAGTCGCGCGCATGTGCGTGTGCGCCGTTGCCAACGCAGCAATAGAAGAAGCGGCATCGACAAATTATTTTTGCTTGAACGTGGAACCATTTGCCAGACACAAGCAAATGTGCAGCTAGTCTCAGCTCATTTAAATTGTCAAAATAAAACCCCCAAGGACTTTATTATTACAGCCGGAGAACATTCTACATAAACCATAAAATGTCACAGGCAATATTATTTAATGATTGGTGTGTTTGACTGGGTGGGCTTTTATTGTATATTTGTATACAACTGTGTAAGTTAGTTATAGATTTTAAACGTTTGTATCTCACCTCAATGTGTGTGTGTCAATTAACACAATTAACACACATTCTTGATTTCAAGTGGCTTAATCATGGTGAAATGCAAAAAAACATCTAAAATACTATATGTGTGTGCTGCATATACTGTGAATTGTCGGAGCGACTCTTGTATTTCACGCGTAGAGTAATTTGGGCTGAGAAAGCACGCGTTCTGCCCTGGGAATGCACTTCACAAAATGTTCCCGCAAGGCGCTGGCTTGTTACATAAGCACCACCCTTGAATGCAAGATCAGACGCGCCGTGGCTGTTCCAAGTGACTCATTCAGAAATGCAAGATCATAACGCGTATCCTGGACAGGCCCTGCCCCCATGCAAGTGTCAATCAATGTACCCTCGGTGTATTCCAAAGGCAAATATCCCCCGTATAGCCTGAACAGACTGTTCGGGCAAGTGCTGTTAGCGAGCCACCTATGAAGGCCGGCACGGCACACGAGAGGGTGGGTTGGTCAACACCACGCCCGGCCGCCTTTGTCTCCGGAGTGGCGATGTTTACACACCGCAACAGGTACCAATTTGTGGTCGAGTCGACCTAGGGGAGGCCCACGACCGGTTCAGATAATCGCCACTGCTTGGCCGTGAGCAGGAATCGAACTCGGGTAGCCGGGTTTGTGGCGCAGCGCGCTAACCGCTGCACTACTTGCTCCCCTTGGCGTAGATGTTACGATACCTATCTCTCGGTCATTCATTTGCGCCACGTTATAGGCGGATACAGTGCATGTGTTATGACTGTAGAATCTACCTGCGGTGTGAGTGGACTAGTGGCCACGGGAGGTAATGATAGGGAAGTCAGCCTACGGTGTTAGTGGACTAGTGGCCACAGAAGGTGATGATAGGGGAGTCAGCCTGCGGTGTGAGTGGACTAGTGGCCACGGGTGGTAATGACAGGGAAGTCAGCCTACGGTGTTAGTGGACTAGTGGCCACGGAAGGTAGTGATAGGGGAGTCAGCCTGCAGTGCGAGTGGACTAGTGGCCACGGAAAGTAATGACAGGGGAGTCAGCCTGCGGTGTGAGTGGACTAGTGGCCACGGGTGGTAATGACAGGGAAGTCAGCCTACGGTGTTAGTG